CACATGTCTTGTTTTTGTCTCCTTTTTTCCAGTACAAGGGATTAAACCCATGGCCTTCACAGTGAGCTACTTTTCCAGACCTCTTTTTTTTTTTCTACAAATTTTAAATTTTGAGGCAGAGTCTCACTATTTTTCTAGAAACTTTGTTATATACTAGTGCAGGCTTTGTTTGTGTGCTTATTTTTGACTTCAAGTAAAATACTATTGGAGTAGATTCTACTTTGGAAATGTGTCAAGGCACACAAACAAAAACCAAACACAAGATTTAGTTACAAATAAATTAGGATTAAATATACAAGATAAATTCTAACCTCTTTTCTCCTAGGACTACTGATCTTTCAGTTGGTCTTATCAGAGGATCTTTCTATGATTACTGTGCTTTAAGGAAATAAGGAATTTTCCCCAAATAAAGAAATCTGCACATTCTTTAGACTCCTCTCTATTCAAGGCACCCAACTTTAAATGAAAAAGATACTAAAAAATTTACAAAATATAATAATTGAGTAGGTAAATCAGGAAATATACAAAAATGATGTGACCTTAGAGACTGTGGAGCAGGTAACAACTGGTAACCAAGAAGGAAGGAAACCAGCAGTGCAGAGAAAGGGAGGACTGTGGGTGACAGTGATATAGGAGGCACCCAGGGAGGAAGAATTGAGTTGAGCATCAGAACAGAGATAATAGCTGGCATCACGAGGAGGGGCAATGAGAACTGCAGAAGCCAGGGCAGGGAACGAGGCAAGAACCCACACTGCTGGGAAGAGCGAAAGGAGTTTGGCTGGCAGATGTTCACTTAGGTGTGGGAGTAGTAAGACACAAGTCACTGTGACATTTCAGGGCACACTGTGAGGAGTCTTAGTTTCATGCAAAGGAGTTGGATTGTACCCTGTTGTCACTGAGGACGGAAGTGATTGGGCAGTGATAGGTTCACAGGGGTAGTTGGGAAACTATTCATCCAGCATGAATCTTGAAATTTTGGGGAAGGGACAGGAGGGCAAGTGAACAAGTGAGAGACTATTGCAACACAGCAACAATCTCTGACCAAATGGACTTTGAGAGTTTTAAAACATACTTCACCAAAATATTCCCTTTGGGTTTTGTGTTTAGAAACCAAAATACACATTATAAATCTTTCCAGCCTGCTGGGAATACTTCCAAAATATATCACGGAACCAACCAATTCCACTGCTTCCCCTCCTGCCATCTTCTTAAGTCGCCATCAGTGTCCACTCTCCTCTAGAGGTGGTCTTTTCAGCTGATTTCCTCCTCTTCCCACCCTTCTTCCAACGTGTGCTATTCTCAATACAGCAGCCAGGGTGACCATTTCAAAATCAAAGGCAGTCAATCACTGTCGCTCCTGCTCAGGACCCTCCAAAACCATCTCCCATTCACAAGGAGCATCACTCATAATCCTGAGCCCCACCTGACAGCCTTCCAGCTGTTTCATGGCTCTGCTGTTAAAAAGATCTTGCAACCTGTGTGCTCTTGCTTCAAAGCCTTTGCATTTGCTGCTCGCTCTGCTAGGTCTCTCTTTCCTGAGGGATGCACAGGACTGACCCTCTCCCTCCATAGACATCTCCTCAAATGTTGTGGGAGAATATGTCTCTAACCATCCTATATCCAGTAACACTAATTTTAAATCACTTTCATTTTATCAGTTGAGAATTGATATTAGGAGGACAGAGACATTTTATTCATGACATCCTTAACTCTTAGAACAAAACCTGAGATAGATGCTTAATAAATATTTGTTGCTGAACTCTAAGTGTTTGGATGCCTTTAAGACTCAAAGAAAGCTTCTGTCTTCAAAGACTCCCTGATATTTGTTCCTCTGGCTGTTCTGCCCACCTCCAACGAGTGAAAAAGAAAATGAAATTTAGGAAATATTGGCCCCCGTAGAAAAATGACATAGGTACACTAGACAATGACAGGCATTTTTACAAGCTTTACTGCCTCCTCAACTCAGATACTATTTTGTTTCTGAACTTGGAAATTAAGCACAATTCTTTTAATGGCAATAGTATAATAATCCCAATATACTAGAGCATGTAGAAAGCTCATCAAATTTCACGCTCTGTTCGTCCTGAAGCGAAGGTAGATTAATGTTTCCCAGCTACCTCATACTTAGATGGGGCATGGGACTTAACTTAAGCTTCTATCAAAGATAAGTGGCTGAAAGAGTTACGTGCCATGCCCAGGTCTGACCCATTAAAGAAAGGAAGGAGAAACAAACCAAATAAAATAAAACAAGAACCTTTCCTACATGTGCTCTGTGCTTTTTCCCTCTCTTTCTGAAAGATATTAGGGCTCTGGGAGACCTTGGAATCTACACCTGGAGGCTGGCACATTTATGACAGCATGCGGCAAAGCTGTCAATGACTTAATTGGACACATTATACATGCTGTTCTTATCTGTTCACACGCCACATATAAGACATAATACTAAAAAGAATCCTAGCTTATCTCAAAGTCAAATTAACTGGGAATTTTATATTTTTATTTGCCTACTCTCTCTGGCCTCCAAAATAAAAATCATATTTTACATGTCCACATATGAATGCTTATAGCAGCACTGCTTGCAATAGTCAAAAGGTGGAAAGAACCACATCTCTGCTATTGGATGAATGGATGAATAAAACGCAATTTATACATATAAGAAATATTATTTCACCGTAAAAAGAATTACAGACTTAATACATGCTGGAACATGAGTTAACCCTGAAAAAAGTGAAAAAGCTAGGGAAGAGAGAGAGAGAGAGAGAGGAGAGAGAGAGGAGTGAGGATGGGAGGAGAAAAGAGGAGGAGGAGGAGGAGGAGGAAGAAGGTGGTGAGGAAGGGAGAGGAAAGGAGAAGGGGAGGGGAAGAGAAGGAAAGGTGAGGGAAGGGAAGGGAAGGGAAGGGGAGGAAAGGGAAATAGAGGAAAGGGAAGGAAAGGGGAGAAGCGAAAGGAGAGAAGATATTGTAAGATTCCATTCCTCTGAAAGTGCAGAGCAGGGAATCTGTAAAGGCAGAACTTGGCTTAGCTTAAAGGATGCTTGGGGCAGAGACTAGAGGGATGGGGAAATAGGGTAGGTAATGGGTGAAAGATTTGTGATTTCTTTTTGAGATTTCAAGAATGTTCTAAAATCGACTGTGGTGATGGTTGCACACATCAGTGAATGTTACAAAGACCACTTTGAATTGTACATGTTAAGTGCGTTAATTTATGGTATATGTGTCGGTGTCACTCCCGGCCGGCAGGAAGGACACACAACAAAGTCTGGCAGTGGACAACCTTTTCTTTTATTTTCCTTCTCCGTACAGCCTGCCCCGGAAATCCTCCCGGCCGAAGCCTCTGTTGGTCTGCTCTCCGCGGCTCCTTGCGTGCTTCTTCTCTACAGTCTGTCCCGAAGCCTCTACCGGTCCGCTCTCCGCGGCTCCTTGCGTGCTTCTCCCTACAGTCTGTCCCGAAGCCTCTACCGGTCCACTCTCCGCGGCTCCTTGCGTGCTTCTTCTGCTTCTTCTTTCGTGGCGGGAGAGGCACTCACTTTTATAGGGTTACAGTGGCCAATCAGTTCAAAGCGCGCGATGCGGGCTGATTGGCTAACATCAGTTGTTGCTAGGCAGACTATCTTACAGCGCGGGTTGTGAAGCAGGAGATCTTACAGGGTGGGTTGTTTACCAAGCAGGAAGCAGGAGATCTTACAGGGCGGGTTGTTTACCAAGCAGGAAGCAGGAGATCTTACAGGGCGGGTTGTTTACCAAGCAGGAAGCAGGAGATCTTACAGGGCGGGTTGTTTACCAAGCAGGAAGCAGGAGATCTTACAGGGCGGGTTGTTTACCAAGCAGGAAGCAGGAGATCTTACAGGGCGGGTTGTTTACCAAGCAGGAAGCAGGAGATCTTACAGGGCGGGTTGTTTACCAAGCAGGAAATAAGCGCCATCTTAGCACACTCGATGGGAGGGGTAATCTAGCTCAGGCTTTGCTCTTTCCTACAGGCCTCACGTCCGCCAAGTAAGGCGACCGGGCTCGGCCGCGGCTCCCAACATATATGAATTATACCTCAAAACCTTTTTTAAAAAGTTGTTACATGACAAGAAGTCTCCACAAGCTCTGGCCCTGTGTCACTGATCTGTTGTCTTTGGGGCTGTGTAGGAAGGACTGGAGTATTCCAGAAACTGATGATAGAAAGAAGGATGTTGAGAAAAAGGAGGAGGAAAATGCCTTGACACTTCAGCAATACTAACTGACAAAGAAAAAGTTTATCTTTCAAAATGTGTAAATTATGTATATTTGAAAGTTGTGAATCTTTACCTTCACAAAGCTTTCTAGTTTCCTCTCTTAAGATCTCCTTTATTTTCTACTACTCAGAAACAACTTTCAAATGCATCACCCTAATTATAATAGATTAATTATCTAGATTCTGAAAAATACTTCAACAAAGTATGTTTTTACATTTTTAAAATAGACAGTCACAATTAATTATAAATTTGTTGTAATGTGTAAGGCACTGTGAACATCTTCCTTTTTCTCTTTAGCTCACACAGTTGAGATTACCATGACAACTAACTAGTGGAAGAGTAAATTGATTAAACTCTGTTATTATTTTATTTATAACATTTAGCTTTTGACAGTTGACTCTGCAGTTCAGATGGCATTTAATAGGTTTAAAGGGTTTTTACTCATAAAATACATGGATTCCAAAAGAGAAGTGGGCCATATGTCATTTATATTTGAAAAAAGCAAGAATTAGAGTAACTATATTAAGTATATATTTTTTACAAACATGAATAAATGTTTACTTTCATTTTTTAAAAGTTACACATGGGAGCTAGGCGTGGTGGTACATGCCTATAATCTCAGCACTCAGGAGGCTGAGGCTGAGGATTGTTGTGAGTTCAAGACCAGCCTGGGCTACAAAGTGAGCTCAAGACCAGCCTGAACTGCATAGTGAGACCCTGTCTCAAAAAGGCAAAAAAAAAAACTTATAAATGAACAAAAACTTTTTTTCTTTTTTGCAGGTATCAATGAATGAAGACAAACAAGTTTTATCACATATATTAGAACAAAGAAAATTGAGTGAAATAATCAAAACAAAAAATCTCTTAGAAATCAAGAAGAAACTCAAATTAAAAATAAAAAGAATTGAAAATAGAGACCTCCCAGAGAGAAATACAAATCACTGTAAGTAGACTACTACTCTCTCACATGTAAATTTAAAATGACTTAAGGCAACCTAAAAGTACATTTTATAGCTGCTTTACAAGAAGTCTTAGGATATAGTCAAATATTTATACCCAAAAAAGCATTATATTATGTCAGCTTCTGGCCCCAATTAGATTTCAAATTTGCACTAATGATAACAAGCAAGGTTACTAATCATGTTTCATGGGGAAAAAAATACTCCAAAATTATGCAGATAAAACATTTATCAGTTTTTATGCTAATAAAAACCCTAAGACTTTAAAGAAAACCAAAATGAATATAGGGTACTCTTTTTCTAGTCTAGCAGTCTAAGACTTTCCCTAATAAAAACACACTTGATTAGTTGTTAGATTTCTCTACAAGTAAAAAGATTCCAGAAAATATAATGTCTCCAAAAAGTCTGTGTGCAAAATTTAATTGGTGCTCAATTATGTAATCTAAGAATCATTTTCAATATTTGATTTACCCTTAAAGTAGGAAAATTTCTTTCCTAATAGATAAGTATAAATTTTGTTGATTTCCTAGAGAGAGAAACTTCTTTGGCAAAGATATTAAGAAAGAATATCAGTTTCAATAGTATTATAAAATGGGCATATCTAAATTCATTTTAAATCTAAATCATACACAATGAAACTTTTATTTGGGAATTCTTTGATATCAAAACATGGCCTCCCTGTTGTTTAACATAGTCCTGTGGATTGGCTTTTTGAGTGTAAACCACACCCGAACTGTATCCTCTTTGGTTTCCCAACTCAAGATTCTAATAGAGTGAGGAGCCAAAGACACTGGGAAAATCTTGTGCAGAATCCTGCCAGATTTTTATAGACTTTCTCCCCAAGGAAAAACATCTCACTCACAATTACCTGGATAATTTTAGTGGCTCTTTTTAAATCAAATTTTCCCATAGTATTTCAGTTACATTACAGTCATATATTCTTTTTGTACTTATATGTAATCAGTTTACGTTTTGCTCAATTAAATTCTGTAATTATAGTAACAGTGAAGCTGGTATAAACAGATTTGGGAACAAGTCCTCCTGACCCTTTGTAAGTGTGCAAGGGGTGGAAACAATACACACATGTTCTAATGCATGCCCAACTAGCTGCAAGCTTTCCATGTGTTGTGGATGGACACCAATAAACAGATGGGACAGAAAAAATGAAGAGCCATGGTTAATTTGGCAAATAAGGTAGGTAGAGGGTGTTTGAGCAAGATTCTCTATTTTAAAAGTAAAAAATGTCATCCTTCAAATGAGATCTCTTTCCCTTACATGGAAGTGGTTGTGCTCTAAAAACCATATATAATACCATGTGTAGTAATAAGACAACTGTAATCGACCATTTTCTGTGTTTAGCGTTTATCCAACTTCAGACAGGTTGCTGTGGTCTGTATCCCATAGATGAGAAACCAGAAGTACAGAGAACTCAGGTAATGTGCACGACATTGCAAAGCTGTTTTCTAGGGAAACGGGAATGGAAACTCGGAGCTTCTGGAATTACTGCCCTCTACCTCCTAGCCACTATGTTGTATGTGCCTCACAAAAATAAGCTGGCATTATGAAGAAACCATAGTTCCATTGTTCTCAAAGAATTTTTGAAAAATGCTGAACTATGGGATAAACACATTGTAACTTCTTGAACACCGAAAGCATTTGAAGGTTTTAAGAGAAAATACATAGGGGCTGGAGGTTTAGCTCAGCGGCATAAGCGCCTGCCTTGCAAGCAGGCAGTCATGAGTTTGATCCCCGGTACCAATAAAAAGGAAAAAGACAAAAAAAAAAAAAGAGAAAATACATGATGGCAAGAGATTGAGGACATTTTTATTTTAAAACTGACATTTTTATTTTAAAACTAACAGTTATAATATATACAGTGGCTTTCAAAATTCACATGTTTAATTGTCAAATTTAAGATTTCAAACAAATGTCTTGCTGTCTTCCAGAACTTTAGGGATTGTACACACATTCATCACTGCTATTAAATGTACTTCAAAGACATTTGAGAATCCTTGTCCTATAACTCATAAGACCAATTCATCAAGACTTACATAAATTAGGGCCAAGGATTTAGCTCAGTGGTGTAAGCACCTGCCTGGCAAGTGCAAAGAGTCATGAGTTCAATCCTTGGTACTAAAAAAAAAAAGACATAAATTAGAAAACATGTCCTTCAGACAGAAATGAACATAGAAAAGTGATCACTGTGGATAAGAACTATGGGATTATAAAGGGAGAGATTGCTTTAACAGGCTGGAAGGGCACTTATTGATCCTAGCCTCTATTTGCTTTTTCTGAGACCGCTCCTGTAAGTTTTTTAAATCTAATTTTGCAGTCTCCTATATTTACCCTAAAAGGTTGGTTCATTGCTCAGTGGAAGAGTTGGCTCTAGATAGAGCTTAGAAATATTGACTAATTGAAGTATGAGGAGGGTTTTGGCAGGAAATAAATGACACATTTAAATGGACTCTTTTGAGAAAAGTTTAAAAGAGGAGTCTTTTAAAAGATGTAGACAGGATGTAAGGAAACCACAAAGTTGCCCCATCCTAGTAATAAGAAGGGCGTCATCACCCTCAAGGTCCTGAAGGACAGCAGAGCAGTAGTGGCTACTGGAATGCTGAGAAAGGAAGCAAGAAGTATGTGAAGAGGACACCAGCAAAGCACTGTGACCTTAGATCAAAGAACAATGGCAGGTGCGGAGACCCTGACTGGGGAGCCAGGAAATGAATACCCCACTGTCACACTCTGTCTACCCTTCCTGCCACCTGCTGGTGCCTTTCAGCCAAGAAGCTGCAGGGGAAGAAAATCTAGTGATGCATCCCCACAGCACTTTGAGTCCCAGGAAATGGACCAGGATGGGAAGAATCTGGAAAAGCAACCAGGAGACACTCAACAAATTGGCTTCCCAGACAGGGCAGATCAAAAGTTGGGGACTAAGACAATGAAGAACTTTTTCAGACAAACAATAGAAATGCAATTACTAGAAGTAAAATTAAAGAATCTTGGGGGAAAATGGGAACATTAGAGGTCATCTAGTCTAATGAACTTTCATCAGATTTTCATTGGAGATGACACCAGCTCCCATTTTAATACCTGTCAGTGAGCTCACAGTCTCATACAAGGCAGCCTGTGATATTCTTCAAGACACTTCTTTCTCATAAGCTTACACTGAACCAAAATCACTCCCAACAGTGATCTTGGTATTAGTCATGTTAAATTGTGGTAGCTGGTGCTGGACATGACAGTGCTGCCATGGACTGCCCCGTGCAGTATATGGTGCCACTATTGCCTGCCTCAGTGAGCACTGTAGCTTGACCATAATGTCTTTAAGATCTTGCTACTTTGGGCACCAAATCATGAGAAGAATGAATTCAAGGCAAACTTCTCTCTGAAAGGCACTAAACCAGTGTGTAAGTCAGGGTTCATCATAGGTAATAAAAAGAACCAATAGTATTACTGGACCTCAACATTTGTACCACTTCCTACTACCCAAAAGACTTGGGAGACAGAATTTGATGGAAGGAAAGAGGTTTATTGAAACCTGGCTCTGAAGAAGACAAAGATGTCCCTGTCTTTGTGCTCAGGGGTGCAGAGAGCTCTCATGGGAAGAAAGCAGCATAGGATGAGATAGTGTGCTGGGGAGGGGTCTCCTCCAAAGTGCTGCTTTCCTCTTCAGAGCTACTGTTGGCTCCCCACTCTATCTCCAAAGAAAACTGGATCTACACCTTGTGGAGCCAGACCTGCATGTTCTTTTACACAGCTACCTTTATATTTGTGACAGATCCTAATGTCTGCATGTTCATTAATATGAGCTGAAGACAAGAGTGAGCTTTTACAGAGGCTTCCCTTTTGACATTAGAATGCCAAAGGTGATAGACCGTTAAAAAAGACTAAGAAGGAAGGGAGTCAGGAGATTAGGAAGAGAGGGAGTTCTGTTTAAAATGTTTTTTTTTTTCCCCCTAGGAAGCAGATCTGTTACAGTAGGAGATAGTTATGTATTAAAGGGTTTACTGGGGAGACAGTATTGGTTTACATGGTTGTGACTGGCCAGGAAGATCCCAGATCTGTAGGGCAAGCTGTCAGGAAGAGCAGACTGGAGGCCTCAGCATGACTTGAAACTACTGTCCACTACTGTCCACTACAACTATTGTCCACTGTACACTCCCTTCCCCAAGCTCAATTCCATTCTTGAGGCCTTGAAATGACTGAATCAGGCCAGCTCAGATTATAATATCTTTTCCATTATAGATTTTAATCACATGTACAAATTACCTTCAGAATAACAATTAGATTAGTGTTTTACTGATTGAAGAATGTAGCCAAGCCAGAGTGATACATAAAATTGATCATTGAGCCATGTATCTCCTGAACCTTACATGTTCACCTAAGATTTCTGTTTTTCTTTTCCAGGAGAAAGGAGGAGGGCTTCAATGCATGGGAGCTAACCCAAGGCCTTGTACATGCTAGGCAAATGTTCTACCACTAAGCTACATCACCAGGCCCCATCTAAGTGTTTTAATCTACATAGGTTGCAATTAGCTCAATGGTAGAGCACACACTTAGCATGCACAAGGCCATAGGTTTGATCTCCATTACTGCAAAAACAAAAAATTCAGTGCACTCATTTTAGACTTTTATTCCAAACTTTTTATTCTTCAACCAATTCACTGCTTACAATATTTGTTCAACTTCCTCTTAGAGAAGTTAGCAGAATGGGGTCAACTTTAGAGCCTAAGGCTCACAATAAACCACTAGAATTGTATTTACCTATGGATCAAACAAATGGAACATGAGGTCATGAAATTTTTATTTACTGTTGCAGTTTGCATGCTTTCATTTGGGAAACTACCTTAATAAACATCTGTGGACAGAAATAGATAAATGCTGCCTCCTGATCTCCCAGCTCCCAGCCCAGCCTTGTCTCAGCCCATGTCAAGTTTTTAAGTGTAGAAATAAATAAAACTAGGGAGAAGAATTTAGTCATTTTGTTTTTGAAAAAATGAAAGTAAAGAATAAGACAAGAAATAGGAAGTGAGTAAAAATGAGGAGACAGAAAGATGATGACTGAGTAAATGGAGAAGGCAATAAATTACAAAGTTGGAGATCCCACTAATATTTTAAAATCAGCAATGCCCAAAGTGACCATTAAGATTGTTTTTGCAGTGCTGTGTGCAGTGATGTATACCTGCAATCCTAGCACTCAGGAGGCCAAGGCACCAGTTCAAGGCCAATTTGGGCTACATAGTGAGTTCAAGGCCAGCCTGTACTACACAGGGAGACTTTATGCAGGTTACGTAACACAGGGAGACCTTATGCAGGTTACGTAACCTCTCTGTGGCCACATCACCTTATTTATCAAACGGAAATGATGGTAGTCCTTTCTTGTTATACTCAGTCAGACAACTCAGTATAAACACTGAATACTCGTTGGCACCTACGTGCTTTGTAAATGCCCTTGCTCCTACTATATACATATATCACATAGTGCACACTGCTACTGGTTCTTCATTTGCTTTACAAAAAAATTTTTGATGAGAGTTTTATACTGAAAATTAAATCTTTGTAAGTCAGAATTCCTTTTATTTCAAGTTTTGCTCAGGTAGGTATTTGAAGAGGGAATTTTTTTCTACTTATAACACACCGTTTCCTAGCAGTACCACAAGAGAGATTTATGTTTGACAATAATGATCTGGAGTCAGAGGAAATAAACTTCATTATTGCAAATATCTGTGCTCCTATTCAGGAGTATCTGACTTGATCGTATCTTTATCTGACTAAACCCTTTGCTGAGTCATTCGATGGAATGTTATTTTTAGTAATGGATCATTACCCTTCCTCCCTATCCAGTGTTATATCTTTCTGGCACTTGTAAGGGCAAATGTGAACTATTCTTTTGAGGCAATATTCTGAAAATCAGAAGCTGAAGGTGGTTTATATTAAATACGACTGAAATTACGGTGAAAAAGGAGACAATAATCTGTATAGGCAAGATTGCTGCAGGGGAAAAGAAATTTCCATTTTTATTTTTTTGTATTATTTTCTGAATGCACCTGAGTTTTAGTCAGACTCAAAGATATCCATCTCTTGGCTCATTTGTTAATTCCTTCAGTTTGCAATGATCCTTTGTATAGTGTATGGTATAACAAGATTCAAAATAGTGAATTCATTGTTCTTTTTGCTCTTATTGAATAGCTGATTTAGAGAGCATGTATTTATTTTTAATTTGAAAGTTACGGTTTCAGATTTTGTGGTGAAACATTAAAAGGGGATGAGCAACCTGTGTGTGGTGGCTCATGCCTATAATCTTAGGAAAGCTGAGACAGAAGGATCATAAGTCTGAGCCCACCCTGGTAATCTAATAAGACTCTGTCTCAAAATAAAAATGCCTGGAGGTACAGTTCCGTAGTAGAGCACCCCTGGACTCAATCTCCAGTACTGCAAAGGGAACAGGTAGGGTACGTGTGTGCAAAGAATGCAGGATAGGGAAAAAAAAACAAAAAACAAAACAAAAAAAAAAAAAAACAACTGCTGGGCTTTTAGGAGAAATTAACAGTTTTTGTAGTAGAAA